GGAGGTCCACAGTCCCTTTGGAAAACCAAAGAGACCGGAAGCTGCAGATCAGCAATTGTTTGCTGTACCACGAGAAGGCGACACGAAGACGCAGTATGCCCCACCAAAAGTATCCCATCGATGAATGACGGGCATGACGCAATACTCTGGAGAACGAGCCGCGGATATAGCCACGAACGAACGCAAGTTTCGTAAGCGACGGCGGCAGTTACAACGGCGAAAGAGAGTAAATCCGAACTTCGGGGAAGCTCTACCCCGCGCTAGGTGGGATGTCATAGCTACATATATGCTGTCATTCCCGCACAGCTTCAAGTCTAGACTTTGATGCCCAAAACACCTAAACACCACACTTTACTACCTACAAACAACATGACCAGAGTACTACTCACAGGAGGAAGCGGCTTCATCGCAGCGCACACCCTCGACATCCTCCTAGACCATGGACACAGTGTAGTCACCACGGTGCGCACCCAGGAGAAGGCGGACAAGATCAAGGAATCATACAAGAGCTACGTTGACAAGGGCCAATTGAGCTTCGCGATTGTTCCGGATATCGCTCAACCAGATGCTTTCGAGAAGGCTGTTATCTCGGACCCTCCATTCGAGGCTGTGCTTCACACTGCCAGCCCGTTCCACTTCAATGTCACCGACGTCCAGAAAGTGAGTGTTTCGGGAAATTGAAACACCAGATAGCTGGCTAACATGACGAAGGACCTGATTGACCCTGCTGTCATTGGAACAACTGGAATCTTGAAGTCGATCAAGAAGAGCGCGGTATGTTGAATCTGAAGAGTGCGCAACTTCCATTCGCATGCTAATAAGATCGTGTAGCCATCCGTGAAGAATGTCGTCATCACATCTTCATTCGCGGCTATCGTGAACGGAAGCAAAGGTTTCTGGCCAGGACACGCATACTCCGAGGACGACTGGAACCCGATCACACAAGAAGAGGCCACGGAGAACCCGATGATGGGATACAGAGCGAGTAAGACGTTTGCTGAAAAGGCTGCGTGGGATTTCGTTGAGAAGGAGAAGCCCAACTTCACCGTCTCCACGATTAACCCACCGATGGTTTTTGGTCCGATTGTAAGTCTTGCAATGCACGCTGCGATACAATCGCTAACACAATATCAGGTACACGCTCTTGACAGTCTCGACAATATGAACACCTCGAACCAGCGCATCCTATCAGCAGCACAAGGAAAGTTCAAAGATGAGATCCCGCCCAGCGGTGTACATCTGTGGGTGGATGTTCGCGACGTCGCAGAGGCACACGTAGCTGCGGTCGAGAAGCCCGACGCAGCCAACAAGCGCTTCTTCGTCACGGCCGGATACTTCTCCAACAAGGAGCTATGCCAGATCATCAAGAAGAACTTCCCCGACTTCAAGGACCTGCCGAGCGACTCCACACCTGGCGGCGACTACCCAGAGGGCACACCTGAGAAGGGCCTCTACACATACAACAACAAGCGCTCCATCGACATCCTTGGCCTCAAGTACAAGACCTTCGAGCAGTCGATTGTCGACTCTGTCAAGTCTTTCCAGAAGAAGGGTTTGTAGATGGCAGCACCGAGTATTCGGAAAGATAGATGAACGGCAGTAACGGTATTCGATTGTCTATGTACACTATATGGGCGGCGCGCTTATTTGAGCGGCATAGCATCGGTCGCGTGCATGGCAATCTGAAGAAGACATGTTAGCATATGCAATCCTCATGTAATAGACAATACAGAGTGTGTATGGGCAATCAGCCTGTTGAGCTTGAAATTTTTTGGACTTCACCGTCTTTGACTCGGAAGTTATCGTTTGTGTTGATCATCATAATGCAGGGAGTTGGGAGAGATGGTGATGACTTACCGATGAGTAATGCGACGCGACGCTGGCCACATGTGTGCTGCATGAAGCTGTTGGTGGCCAGCGTTGGTGTGAGAGAAGAGAGCAGTCGCGAAGCCTCGAAGAAAATGGCAAGCTTCGGCTGAAAACCGGGCCGAGCTTTTCCAAGCCTAGCGGCTGCCCCACCAACGAAGCCCATCGATGGCGGGCAGTGACAGCAAAAGCCCAAACACTTTCTCGAGAATTCCACGTCACATCGCTCTATCGCCGTCGCGTACCTCGCAGCCACCTCATAGCCAACTTCTTTTTTGATCAGACAAGCCACGTCCGAGAAACCGCAAAGATGTGTAAGTTGCCTACCACTACCCCACCACCGCCTCGATGCGCACTCGGCGGTGTATAGCCCCCGGTTGCAGGCGCAAGGCTGTTCTAAGAAGATGCGGGAGATCTAAGACATGATGCTATGTTCACGTTCATGTCGCAACGCTTTGTGTACAATGCAGAACTGACTCCTCCACAGCCGACTTCAACGCCATCGCCCGTACGTACCCCCGGATACAGCAAGCACAACCCCGCCGACATACTCTCCACGATCGCTCCATCCATGAAACCGCGACTGACCCTTGCTCCAGAGCAGTTCGTCCAGTTCTACTACAAGACCTTCGATGAGAACCGCGCTGGTCTCGGTGCCCTCTACGTATGCGACTCAATACCGTGTGCGCAAAGCAGCAGTCGGCTGACAAATGCTATAGAAGGAGACTTCTATGCTCACCTTTGAGGCGCAAGGCACTCAGGGTTCAGCCGCCATTGTAGAGAAGCTCCAGGTAATGACGACTTTGCCCATGAAACAAGGACGGGGCTAATGCAGGGAAGAACCTGCCATTCCAGCAGATACAACACCGTACCGACACCGTCGACGCTCAGCCTTCCGCCGATGACGGTATCCTTGTGCTTGTCACCGGTGCGCTTTTGGCAAGTCGTTCCCATGTATCGTTACATCCGGCCTTGACTAATACTGAACAGCTTGCGGGCGAGGACAAGCCAATGAGCTTCACCCAGGCCTTCCAGCTCAAGAACGCTGATGGCAACTGGTTCGTTCTGAACGACATTTTCCGTCTCGTATACCCCGCCGCGTAGGCTATCCGCTCGCTCTTGAGCTTGATTTCACCACACCGGTGAATTCGGGGGCATGCATAGAGAGTCACTGAGTCTTAGCGACTTTGAACACGACTGACGCGATTTTCTTATGAGTTTTGAGCATTTTGGCGGAGGCAACATAGGTGCGGATGGGATCGAGGATCGATGCTTGACGCAGTCATCTTTGGGAGTGTAGCTACTCACGAGTTCTACACAGGTAGATTGAGCTAAATCTTCAAAATCGACTTGCCTTCTTTGCAGCCTCCTACAGCGTCTCGAATGACATCTATCATCGTGCATATGCATAAGCCTTTTCCATGCGGCGGGTTTGTTTTCCGTGCATGACGCGGAAGAGAGCTTTGCCGCCATTCCTCCGCCCCGCGCTCACTTGCCGAAGCGAAGCTCCACGCCTTCCTCGGACCTGGAGCTTAGCTTACAACGACCATGGCCTCGTCGCGCGGCAAAAGCCAGGACATTCTGTCTCTTACTCGCAAGCATCGGCGTTACCTCACTTCGCCTCTCTTATTCTCTTGATACCCTCCTCTGTCCTTTAGCGTTCCATCACAGCCCATCGTCTCACAATGGCTTTCATCCAGAAAGGTCTCAAGAACATTCTCCAAAAGAATCCCCACGATGTTGTCTTCCTATCAGCACTTCGGACGCCGGTCACAAGAGCGAAGAAGGGTGGACTGCGCGATGCATATGAGCATGAACTTCTAGGCGCGGTATGCCATCCTCAGCACCTGCGGTACACAGCCCCAAGTTCTAACAGCATCCCAGGTTCTCAAAGCCACAATGGCCAAGTTCCCCAACCTCGACCCCGCGAAAATAGACGATATATGTGTCGGCACCGTTCTCGCAGAGCTCGGTGGCTCGAAAGCTGGTCGCATGGCAGCAAACCACGTCGGCATCCCCACCACAACCTCCTTCAGCACCGTAAACCGCGCCTGCGCATCTGGCCTCTCCGCCATAACCTCAATCGCGAACTCGATTGCCGTAGGACAAATAGATGTCGGCATTGCAGGCGGCATGGAGAGCATGACGCGAAACTACGGCAGCAGGGCCGTACCCACCGAACTCTGGCCCGAGATGAAAGAAAGTCCCGTGAAGGAAGCCAGAGATTGCATAATGGCCATGGGCATAACCTCCGAAAATGTCGCATCCCGCTACGGCGTCAGCCGCGCCGACCAAGACGCCTTCGCCGCCGAATCGCAACAGCGCGCCGCCAAAGCACGGAGAAGCGGCCTCTTCGACGATGAGATCGTACCTGTAACCACCCGCTGGATCGAGCCTGAAGTCCCCGAGAACACAAAAAGCATCACCGTGACGAAAGACGATGGAATCAGGCCTGGAACAACGGTTGAGAAACTCGCGGAGATGAAACCTGCGTTTATCAAGGACGGCACAAGCACAGCGGGAAACAGCAGTCAAGTCTCCGACGGCGCGTCTGCAGCGCTGATGATGCGTCGGTCCACGGCTACAACCCTCGGTCTGGAATCCCAGATTATCGGCAAATGGGCGGGCACACAAGTCGTTGGCTGCTCGCCCGACGAAATGGGCGTCGGACCTGCCCTCGCCATACCCAAACTGCTCGACTACACTGGCCTGCAAACATCTGATGTGAATGTCTGGGAGATCAACGAGGCGTTTGCTAGTCAGGCGTTGCATTGTATTCGGACGTTGGGGCTGGAGGGCAAGATGGATAAGGTGAATCCGAATGGAGGGGCTATTGCGCTGGGGCATCCGTTGGGAGCGACGAGTGGGAGGATGTTGGCTACGCTGTTGAATGAGATGGGGAGGAGTGGGGAACAGGTTGGTGTGCTGAGCAAGTGCATTGGGACGGGCATGGGGATGGCTAGTTTGATTGTTAGGGAGTAGACGACACTAGATTTGAAAATCAGAACTTATTGATATTAAATTCTGCTGTTCGACCTTTGCACTCGGCCCCCCTGGAGGCAACTGGGTATCAAATGAAAGAAATACTAACGCCATGGAACATGCACAACTCTCTTCAGGCTCATGGCTGTCCTCTATGCCTTTCCCTTCTTACTCTTCTTCTTTGACCGCTCAGCGAGAATCTCGTCGAGGAAACTCTTGGGTTTTGCTCTCGCTTTCTTGGGGGCTGGCTGTGTGGGCTCCGCTTCCTCATCGTCATCTTTCTGCTTGATAGATTTCGCGTCTATTTGAGCTTCTTTGACCACCTCCTCTTCTTTCACAGCGCCACCTCCCAACCTCTTCGCCCTCGTCTCTTCATCTTCGTCATCGCTGTCCGCAGGCTTAGCTTCCTGCTTCACCCTCTTCTTCTGCCTTTTGGATTTGAATGTCGCAGCTCTCCCCTCTTCATCGTCGTCCGACTCTTCTTTCTTCGCAGCAAGCTTCTTGTAATGTTGAGCTTTGGAGGCTGCATTTGGTCTCGCAGCTTCTTGTTTCGCAGTGATATGAGCTTTCGCCTTTTTCTTGCCGATCAGTTGTTGCAGAAGTTTGTCGTCTGACGTTCGTATTCTGCTGGTGAAGCTGCCATCTTCGATATCCTTGGGAACCATACCGCCGACACCAATCCTGGTGATACTGTCAGAAGTGCGATCGGCAACAAAACGATGCATATTTACCTGTCGTGAGCGTAGTTCTGTTTCAGGTCTTGATCATCGTCTTCAACTTGTGTTTTCGCATCACCATCGGCAGTGCTCCAGTCCGGCCGCGACCCATACAGTGACGCCAAGAGTTTTTGGCCCTTTGCCTCGAGCAGACTTATGCGATTTGCGATGACATCGCCCTCATTATTCCGTTTAGACATGGTTGCGCGATTATGTGAATCTGCATCAAGTCCAGTCGCTTGGTGTTACAGAAGTTCCCGGCCGCGATATTTTTGAGAGGACCCGGTTCATTCTCGGCGCGCTAGCAGACGTCCGCAACAGCCCTGTGAAGCCGCAACACCAACGGAGCTGTGCACTCCAGCTCTACCGCCCTCCCAACTCGCCTCCATATACCCACACGTGTGTCTGCCGCTCAGACATCATGTACAACTTTGCCCGCGCCCGGCCGCTGGCTCGCGCTGTCCGCGCTGCTGCTGTATGTACACGGGCCTACTCCGCAAAGCTGCGAAAGCCTCTTACGCAGCGTGCACCACATTGGGGGGTCATGTGCTAACACGGCCTAGGAGACACCGTTGAAGCGCTCCGTCGTCCAGCAAAGGAGAGGTCTCGCCATCCACGAATACAGGTCCGCTGCCCTGCTCGAGTCGGTACGCTTACTTCACCACACGTCCACCAATTTCGAGGGCCCAGATATCTAATGCGAAATTCAGTACGGCATCGGCGTGCCCAAGGGCGGTGTCGCTACCAGCGGCGCCGAGGCAGAGAAGATCGCCAAGGAGATTGGTATGCGACAGCAAGAGTGAATGCAGAGTCGTGGGCTAATGCGCGCAGGCGGAGAGGATGCTGTTATCAAGGCCCAGGTTCTCGCTGGAGGCCGTGGAAAGGGTACCTTTGACAATGGCTTCAAGGGCGGTGTCAGAGTCGTCTACTCGTATGCTACTTCGCAACCATAACACGACCGCGGCCACCCTCTAACACAACATGCAGTCCCCGCGAAGCCTCCATCCTCGCCGACCAGATGATCGGCCACAAGCTCATCACCAAGCAGACTGGAGCCGCCGGCCGGCTCTGCAACTCCGTCTTCATCGTCGACCGCAAGTTCGCCCGCCGCGAGTTCTACCTTGCCATCCTCATGGACCGCGCTTCACAAGGACCCGTAATCGTCGCTTCGTCGCAAGGTGGAATGGACATTGAGACTGTTGCCAAGGAGCACCCCGAGGCCATCATCACCACCCCCATTGACATCCACAAGGGTGTCACCGACGACATTGCCCGCAACATCGCGACCGAGCTCGGTTTCTCAGAGCAGTGCATCGAGGACGCCAAGGACACCATCCAGAAGCTGTACCAGGTCTTCATGGAGAAGGACGCAACCCAGATCGAGATCAACCCCCTCTCTGAGACCACCGACCACCAGGTCCTCGCCATGGATGCTAAGCTCAACTTCGACGACAACGCCGACTTCCGCCAGAAGGAGGTATTCGACTGGAGGGACATCACCCAGGAGGACCCAGAGGAGGTCAAGGCCGCCAAGGTTGGCCTCAACTTCATCAAGCTCGACGGTGACATTGGCTGCCTCGTCAACGGTGCCGGTCTCGCCATGGCCACCATGGACATCATCAAGCTGAACGGCGGCGCGCCCGCTAACTTCCTCGACGTTGGTGGCGGTGCTACGCCCGAGGCTATCAGGCAAGCGTTTGACTTGATCACCAGCGACCCCAAGGTTACTGCCATCTTCGTCAACATCTTCGGTGGCATCGTCCGTTGCGACGCTATCGCCAAGGGTCTCATCCAGGTTGTCAATGAGATGAACCTCAAAACTCCTGTCATTGCTAGGTTGCAGGGTACCAACATGGAGGCTGCTCACAAGCTCGTAAGTCACGCCAAAGGAATAAACTTGATGTACATTCATGCTAACACATTATGTTCTAGCTCAACGACTCAGGCCTCAAGATCTTCTCCATCGACGATCTCCAAGCCGCCGCTGAGAAGTCCGTCCAGTTCTCAAAGGTCGTCAAGATGGCGCGCGACATTGACGTTGGCGTCGAATTCACTCTTGGTATTTAAACTCTTTCAGCATGAACCCTTTGCTGGCTGACCACGTTTGTGCATGATAGGTTTGTAGATAGATGGAAGCCGAACTTGAACAAGCGGTGTGTCTTATGAAAGTTTGTTTGGTCTCTGATGTTGTTTGCTTTGCGTGCGATATGTGTGCGTGGGATGTGTTTTTCCATGTTGTGACCACGTGAAACGAGGCGGTGCGAGGCGCTGACAGCTTACCCCGCGGATGTGTTACCACTAACACAGCTTGCTGTTGATGATCATCACCATCCTCACGACACTATGATCCGGTCGAAACAACAGTTCACAACCCCAATTATCGTATGTTCTCTCATTGTTCAAGCGGATGAAACATCGCGTAGACATGGTGGCTTTTAGGAAGGGCACAGAACGGCCCAACGGACGCACCGCATCTAGGTCTCTTGCGGCTGCTTTTGGAAAACAGCACAACAGCACGCACCACATTTCTCTGAATGTGTGTGATTTCGAGAAGAGCACGCCTCATCCCCAGTTTGTGAGGTAGTTTTGGAGAGAAGAGCACTGCTCATGACCTGCTGATCATCTAGTTTTGGAGAGAAGAACACAGCTCATATTCCATATTGTCGAGAGTTTTGGAGGAAGGCGCAGCAGCACACTCCATACTGGTTTGTTCCAATGTTTTTGGAGAAATACAGGGAAGTGTGGATATTGAAGAGGAAGGAAGAAGAGAGGAGAGCGAGGGTATTTATACTCCTTCGTCCACGTGCCGACCGCACATAAGGCCTTTCTTAGGCTCTTTTAGTAGTTGGTATGTTGATGGAGGGTTTGGAGAGACGATCCCCATCGGATAGTAATTTTTAGCTTTTTGAGTAAAAGAGAGATGAGACACTCCAAACGACATAGTGGTTCGTTCTGCATGTTTGGGGTATGCAAGGTGGAAGCGGGTGTACAGAAGACATTAGAGAAGAGGCGGGAGGAGGTTTATATACCCGTGCCGCGACTTGTCCGCTGCACATGTACTGTGCTGCCAACGCTTTTGATACTTGAAATGCTTTTTGAATAGTTGGACCGGTACTTTTCATGTCGCAGTCTCGAATTCTTTTTGGAATAGAGGAATGGCTCTTTGCGCAACATCCCACGAGAGGCACGATCTTTTGGGACAGAACAAGGTAGAAGTGGAGTTTCAGGAGAAGGTGGGAGAAGAGACATGAATACATCGAAACGTAGCTTTAGTTCATTTGCCCACTCCACATGATCAGTCCATCAAGATCCTTCTGGTACTTGATCTGTTTTCCGGTGGGTGGAGGAACAATCCTCACATGTCGAAATAGCGCCATATTTTGACTCGGAGAGAACAGGATCATTCTGCTAGTCCCTTCACTTTTGGACAATGCAAGAGGATTGCGAGTGTAGAGAGGTGATAGAGGGAGGCAAGAACCGAGCTTTTATAATGTTTAGGATGCTTGGCTGGTGCACATGTGCACATTCTTAAGGTATTCTTAGTTTTCGATGTCTTTGCAAAAGGGTGGAGACAAGCTCTCATAGGCCAATACCCATGCGATTTCAGAGGGGGAGGCCGCAACGCAAACAACATTTCTACATCATCGATTCGATTCTTGTAAAACCGGGAAGAGGCATAAGTGTAGAGAGAAGGCCAGCGAGCGCAGGTTTATATGCTATTTTGAAGACGATCTACTCGCACATTAGTGTGATGGACGATTGTTTTGTGTATAGTCGGTGTGTAGATCCGAATCGGAAAGCCGCTTTTTATGGGTAGTGGTAACAGTCACTTTGGAAGACGCGCAGCAGTCGCGCACAGCATGTGGTTGTGCGACTTGGGTTTTGGAGAATGCACGGAAGTTGCCGATAGTAAGAGGAGCTTTGAGGCAGAAAGGGCCGGAGACGAGGTTTTGTACTGCGCGACTGAGCGTTTGGCGCACATGTCTGGTCGGTATCGTCTTTTCTTATGGGTACTGAGTGTGTTCGTAAAGGTCGGAGAGACGATGCTCATACGCATACATGTTATTGTTTTGGAGGAGGAGAAAGCCACACATAGCATTCGAGAATCTTGATTTTGAAGAGCATGGAGGCTTTTGAACAGAAAGTGGAGGGAAGTAGAAAGACAAGCGACTTCGGGTTTTATATGAGCTGGAAGAAGCTCTCACCACGCATGACTGGTTCGCGTGGTCTTTTTCGGGAAACCAGGTATAAGAATTGAAATCATCAGAACGCTTCGCATACGTAGACTCCAAATTGTTTTTCGTCTTGCTCATGCGAAGCCACCGCATTTTGATGTGTCGCTGTTGCCATCTGGCTACGAAAGAGAAGGCCATGAGGCAGATTATTGTAGTTTTGGAATCGATGTATGGGCGGAGACGCAGGCAGCTCTCCATAAGCTTCTTCAGCGACTGTTTGAGGAAAACTTGAAGTTGAGGTTGCGGAAGGAGAAGAGTGGTAAAAACTGAGGAAGTATTTATGCTTCCAACTCTCATGTATTGAGCCATCACAAATTTTAGCTTCACTGAGTGCCAGCGCATGAAATGGCGGGTAGTTTCGCATCTCTTCAGCATGACATGTTCTTGTAGTGCAGATGGACGACCATAAGGCCATGCGAAAAGGCTTTTCGTAGATCGAGACTGGTGCTCAAAATTGCTCATCGGTTTGTGCAGATAGGTCTTTTAGAGAAGGAAGGACGACAGAACTCCATCGCAATTGCCATGTACTTTTTCTTTAGAAACACACAGGTGAGGTGTTGTTTAAGGAAGAGTGGTCCATCGGCGAGCGAGACGTTTATATACTCGGCCCCGCACTAACACCACCCATGAGCAAAATGAGTATGATTATTAGAGTGAGGTTGAGATTATCAGTCAGTCGGTGGTCCTATGCGTTGTGCTTTCGCATCATTTGATAGTCAAAGAGAACGACATCAGTCGTTCCAAGCGCGTTCTCTGGTAGTTGATCAAGCTGGCCGTAGACATGAAATCTGAACCGCGCATTTTAAGACCGCGAAAGTTTTCGAAGCCGCACATATAGTTTTGAAGGTTGTTTTGAGTTTGAGTGGCTAGTTGCGGAAAGAAGAGATACAGCTCAAGTAAAGGGTGTTTATACGTGGGGGAGACTTATCCGGTGCGCTAGTACCACCCTAAGCTCGGACGTTTGG